AAAAAAAAAAAAAAAAATGTTTGCACCAGTAGTCAGTCATTCCTGAAAGTAATTAAAAAAGGATGCTCCGATCATCGGACGAAAATCGCACGCTCATCTTTGAAAGTATATAAAAGCTACGCTCCCGATACAGCGTTCACACAATATATAATAATATCCTGTACGTAAGTTCGTTGCAGTCAAGACATCCGTTATTTACCCAAAGAAAGGCACACGCTCTGTTATTGTTTGTGACTTGCACTTTCGTCACGAGCGAATTTGATTATCGATCGATAAACCGATCGCTGATTGTATTACCTACAGCCCTGGTTTACTGGCTGAAATCAGATCGGATATCGAAAAGATCAGGTAGATATAATAATATAATAGATAAGAAAGTAAGAAAAATATGTTGTATCCAAGGAATGCTGAGTAAGAAATTTAAAAAGTGGACTTCGTTACAATAGCAAATTTTTTTTTTTTTTAAACATAAAATAACCAACCACTCTTTTACTGTGAAATTTTTTGACTTTTTTGTAATAAAAAAATTTTTGCATAAAAATAAAAATAATACATTCATCCTGTGAGAGTAGAATATTAATAGTAATACATATACTGTACCACCCCTTTAAATTCTTTACATAGAAAAAAACTTGTTTATCGTAATTATGTTGAGTATTTTCTTTCAATTAAAAAAAATTGAAGTTAATTAAAAAAAATATTCCAACTATGAATAAAAAAATCTGTTTGTGTTTATTTTGAATGTACTACGTACGTAAAGATCTTAAAATAAAAAATAATCTCGAATTGATCTGACAGTTGTAACGCCAACGTATATCTGTTAAGTTCAATGCATATTTTTTGAGCAACATAACAATAAAAACAAGCGTTATTTATAAGTTTATTCATTTATTATTAGTTTGTACAACTGTACTAGCATAATCTTAGAAGTACAATACTTTTAATTGTTTGAAGCTCATGTTAAAATTATAAAATTCTTATTCTGACATTTATATTTTAATCAAGACTTTTGTATTTGGAAAAGAAGTAAGACCTTTTTTCTTGCGTTTTACGTGCTAAGCACAGTAAATGTAAAAAAATCAATGCTATATAATGCTCAGGTAAAAGTGATTATTTATTCAAACATTTGTCATCAAAAATTCTTTACAGGGCATAAAGTGCACCTGGTATATCTAGTGAAATGACAAGAAGCAAATGTAAACATTTACTTTGTTCGTAATGACGCTAAGTAACTATTTTGCCCAAAAAAACAATATGAAAGAACAAATAACTAACAATAGAAATTACCTGTCAAAAAAATTTACAACACTATTAGTTAGATACGCTATTAGTTAACAATTCAAAACACTATTAGTTAGTACACCGTAGCGATGTCCAATGAAGGAATGTGGTGTAATACACGATCGATGAACCACATATACGACGAGACTCTGGTGAACACTTCAGGCAACTCTTCCGAGCACTCCCTGTGCTGAATACGAATGCCAATGACAATGTCACCATTATTACCGGTATAAACAAGAGGACCTCCACCATCACCCTGTGAAAGAGCACGTGTTTCGTTAAGAAAACCAAAACTGACGTTTGAGGTGACATCATTTTCATACTTAGTGGAAATCTGTTGGTAATAAAATAAAACTTACCACACACGAGATGCCATTAGAAGCTTCGGGGTTGGTGCATATGTGATCGTTGTTCACAGTTATGGGCATCTTCACCTTGCATTCCTCGATTGGAAGAATTTTAGATTCAAAGTACTTGAGCTGCTTAGGAAACAAGAACGAACTAGTTGTTTCGTTCGACGTTTTGTTTATCGTTATTTCGTACTTCTCGGCTCCAAAACCGCTGAATACGACCGGTCTATCGTCGTAATCAATGTCGTAGTTAGGTAAATGAACTTTCTGGTATATTACATCGTAAGTCATGTGAAAGCCCGAATCCACCTTTGTTTTTGTCGATTCATTGACCCATTGGAAAAAAAACAAAAAAAATATTTTATGATCATGTGTATAGAGAAATCATAAAAACACGCTTTTATTAATGAACAAAAAGTATAAAATATAATTTTCCGCCCTCGGGTGGTTTTGGGAGGCTGGTACTTCCTCGGGCGAAAAAGCAGTTTTCCGGAACTCGTTCGAAAAGTCTCCTTTACGAACCTCGTTACGGACCTCGCCTTCGGCTCGGGCCGCAAACCTCTCGGTTCGCAAACAGAGACTTTTCAAACTCGTAGGAAAACTACTATTTCGTAATAGTGTGCGGAAAATAGGTGTTTTCCGCACTGATATTAGTGTGGAAAATCGATTTTCCCACATAGTGTGCGGAAAAGGTGTGCGGAAAATATTTTTGTCTAATAATATAAATGTATTTTCCGCACTTGTTACGTAAATAACTATTCTTGTCGTATGCCTGATCGGTAAAATTAAAAATTACCGAAGTGTTCGCTTGTAACACCACACACAATTGGTGACCATCATTTTTGTAAACCATACGCACGTTTTTTCCACTCTTTAATCGATTAATTGAAATGTACTTATACCACTTTTTGTGTATGATTTGTTTTCACGTAGGTGCAATAATAGTTACCTCGTTTTTTCTTATTGCACCCACATTATTAGACTATTGAATAAATGTATTCTTAAAGTGTTTATGTAATCCATTTTTATATTTTTAACTATTTAGTTGCAATTTTGTTAAACAACTGAACAAAACAATACGGGGTATATTTGACTTTTCAACTAGTAAGGGTTTATCATAGGCAAAATTGAAGTAACTCATGCTGCTTAGTTTTTCTCAACCTACTTGTGAAACAGATTATCATTGATTTTTTAAATAATTATTGTTGTTTATCGTCAATTGTTACCTTAATCATCTAATAAACTTTTTTGAAAAAGCGATAATTATAACTAGGCGCAGAAGGTTGAGAATTATGTTACCCCTACATAGATATACTAAAAACAGAGAAAAACATTAAAAAATTGAGATACATAGCACGCGACCCGTTGATGACCTTTCAACAGGGCCGTAGTTATCCAGAACAAACATTTCTTGGAAAAAAAATTTTTTTTTAGCAAATTCATAAGATGGCAGAAAATTTACTGCACAGAAAAGTAAGATAATTAAAAGCATAGAAAAATGCAACAGCATTTTAATATTGTAGTGAAAAAGCGCCACGTTGCCAAGTTCATGAGCAAAGCAGTGAAACTTGACTTTGAGTCGTTACCTTCAGTATAGCAATGTCTTTCTCGTGAGAGCGGTAGCTCGAGTTGTAATAGGTCTCGAGGTACATGTACTTGGCCACAGTGTGAAAAACAGGATCATCGAGCTCGTCTACTTGGCCAGTTCGCACGAGCAGCTCATTGGCTTGGAAACCGATGACGCAGTGGGCAGCCGTGAGAACGTAGAACTTGTCGATTATGGCGCCCCCACACAGGTGTTTCGAATCCATATTATCGTTTATGATCTCTTGTATCGAGACGACGTACCTTTGTTTACTCATATCGGGAGTGGTGTCGTTGTACAAGCGAGCCCGTGCCTCGGTTCCTGCAAATTAACATTTTTCGTAACTAAGTCGTCAATCTTCTTTAATTCTTTCACTTTCATCATGACAATGGAACGTTTTGTTTTGCCAGGTATCTTGAGTGGAAATTATTCGAAAACTGTGATTGTTGTGTTATCTTTATTTAAATCTAATCAGCACTTCGTTTCATTTTTGAAAAATAAACAGCATCGATGAATTGAAATTTTGTAAAAGTAGTGAATTTTGTCTTTTGTCATACTCTTGCTTAAAGTTAAGCTTGATAATAGGGGCGTCTACACCTAGCATACAGCTGACACCTCAAATAGAAAGATACCGAATCACGTTTTGATTCCAAAATTTTTGTTATAAACAAAAAATTGAAACAAGGTGATGTAAAGGAGTTTTTTGAAGTTTAAAATCGAAGTGTAAAGTACTGTGGCAAGCGTGTCTTTCTCGCTCTGTGCGTGTGAGTAATCAGTCAAATCTCGGGGTTCCCTTGGCCCATTTTGATAAATTTTTCTTGTATCTATCACCATTACAAAATAATTTTAATTTCATCGATTAGTTATTTTTTATTTTTATTTTATTGTTCTCAAAAAATATACTCTTTCAAAAAAAACAATACTTTTGCTTTTTCTCGTCGTTTTTAGATATTTTGTGTTCAAGAACCTTAAAGATTGATTATTTTTATACAAAAAATTTTAAGATTATAATAATATCCAAAAATATATGTGAGTATACACGCATGTAATTAATTATATTTCAGGATTCCCTGGACAAATTTGAGTAAAACCTAAGCATTTTTTAGATACCTATCACCACTGGGATAGGTATTATATGGGGGATAAAATCATAGATTAGTAAAAAAAAAAAAAAAACATAGACATACATAAACTCATGAAAAAGTAATATCTAAAATAAATTGAGTCTACAAAAAAAAAGATAAGGAAGCTTTGAGTCAATAAATAAGCAGCAGTATTTTTTTTTAAATGATTGAGAACAATAAGATTTTTCAATAAAAAAAAAAAAAAATTGATTTTCATACAATTTAAAGAACCCTACCTCACAGCTTATTTATTAAGATGGCGACAAGGCTGTCAAAATAAAAATCGAGACTTTACCTACTACTGTTGAGTTTAAAGTTTTTCTCTCTACTATCCATATGCCTGAACCATGAATTTAATTAAACTCATCAATCTGGTCATGTTTCGCTCTTTTAACAGTTATAAACCTTTTTGGAATCAGATGCTTACTCTCACTTTTTAGCTTGAAAATATTTTAAATGCATTAAAAACATGATACAATAATTTAACCACTCAATATTGAAACAATATATACATTTTTAATATATTGAAAAGTTATTTATGGGTACAAAATTTAAAATCACTGTGCTTGCCATGTGAGAACCAACATAACGCGAGACACAAGTAAAACAAAACAAATTAACTGCATAAAAAAATAATTTCATGTATGTAAAAACATGCACGTCACTAGATGTAAAATAAAAAAAAAAATGAGAAGATACACAAAAATTTTCTCCTAAAATTGTTTAAAAAACATGCCAACCACCCTTACCCATGAGTAGGAAGAGGCGCAGAGTAACAGCGAAAAGTAGCAGCAACTTCATCGTAGCAAAGTTTCACGGACAGAAACCTCCTTCGAAATTCCCAACCCAACAGAGCATACGAATCGATGACATGAACTGAATTGATGAGAAACCCAACGATCCAATTAAATACCCAACGCTATCTACGCGACGATCGTCAAGTCGCGACAATGGGAGTCTATGCGTGTTTGCGTGCTAGATGGCTTTTATTTTAAAATCAAACAGTGCCGTTGGCATCTAATCACATGCAGTTCGTGACAATGCGGGAACATCTTTTGTCCAAATTGAGCAAACAGCCGATTTTTATCGGGCACAAAGGGAAATCGTAAAAAACCCAAGAGAAAGGCGATTTGGTGTAATCTGCCGAGACAATGAGCGAATTTTGCATGGATTCGATCAAACACTGCTCAATTGATAAATTTTTTTGGATTACACGTCCACGCGTGAATCTTACATTATTTTTGCATGATGTTTGGAGAGCGACGTTTATGGGTCATGTTGGAACGGATTAATTATTCATGTCAGTAAGAAATTTTTTAATCATTGTAAAAATATATGACTTTCCAAGGAGGCTGTTTCAGCAGTAATGGCTATAACCACAGTCAATTGCCTCTTTTTATCGATGGTCTGAAAAACATGGCTTGACTTGAAAGTTACTTTGCATGGTGTATTATTAACTTGTCCCAAACTTAAAAAATAATTATCGGACAACAAAAAAATACATAGTTTTATAAATTTAGCTGTTATAATCACTCAGAATTGGAACTTTTATGGCAATACTTAAGTTTTAATAAAAAGTGAAGATTATCAACCTAGTGTGTTTTAATTGTTATAAACATGAATCTCCATTAAGTATCGACCAACACTATTGATCGATTGTTATAATAATTTCCTTAACTTTTTTTAAACCAATTTGGGGAACTGATTACCGTTACATTTTCTAACTAGCTGCGATATTACCTTGGATGACCAGATGCAGAAAAAAATCTCTCACCAAGTGAATCAACACTGAAAATTTTCTTGAACATTAACTTGACTGTGCCTCGGACTGGGCTACGAAACTACGTCTCAGTTGAGCAATCATATACTTTACATCAACATCGCAATCCGTCGAAAACGTGTGCTTTAGTCAATGGACACTTTTAAAGGACATGTTTAGGATGAGATTTATAGTGAAAAAGATTTACTAGATAAATACTATCAGGGATAGGCATAATTATTTTGTAGATTATAAATACCCAATAAAAAAATTATGTGGAAAAATATAGTTTAATGTATTTCCTAAGAAAAATAAGTTTACGTTTAAGTAAATAAAAAACGTTTCAACATTTTTTCCAAAAACATTGATGTTATTTCATTGAAACTTTCATTTTGTAAAATACTAAAATTTATTGGTGACAAATAATTTTTTTAAGCCCTGCATTATTGTTGGCAGTAAGCTAGTTATAAGCACACAGTAGTACTGTATAGACAGAAATTGTATCGCAAAGTACTCATGAAAGCAATTATGACTAGCACTGATTATTAATACATTTCATCAAATATCTTTTTGATAAAATAATTATGCTGACGATACATCGATACAACAAATTCTCGTATGAGTTAAATAACCTTATTTTTTATACTTTTGTTGTAATAATAGTTATTCAAAAAAAAATGTTTTTTATTAGCTGGGATTTCATACTACACTTACTCATCATTTAAAATCAATTGCAAAAATCCTAAAAATCCATCGTATTTTCGTAAAATTGTGATTTCGGGACCATATCAAATTTTCAAAATACATAATTACAAGTGAAATCCTTCGAATACCTAACTTGCCTGAAAATACTGATTTTTCACGATAAATCTTGTAATTAAATATCCAAGACCAACGACGACTAAAACGTCTTGACTCGCATACGGTCCGTGACTCCTCGCAGCGCATCTCTCACGAATCCCAAGTAAGACGACACACGGCAATAAATGCCCGGCTGGTTGTTTTCATTGCACCCGATCGATATCCCGCTCACAACGCCAATGATCGTATTCGACTTGTAAACCAGTGGACTTCCGCTGTCGCCCTGTCGAAAAAAAAAAAAAAAAAAACCATCATCCATACATTCCATTGCGCAACGATGAGCTGTTCATATGGCGAGGAAAAAAAAAAAAAGAAATACTCGCTCTGCAAACGCCTCGCGGCTTATCGTCGTTGGGCTCGATAATTCTGGCGCACAGTTCACCGTCGTGTATGGTGTCGGTGTAGTGCTCCTGGCACTCGGCGTTACCGATGACCTTCGCATTGGCACTGAAGAGCCGGTCAGTGGACGAGCCGACCTCGTACTCGGTTCTGTTCTTGCGCGTCTTTACCTTGACTTTGTCCCAGCCGAAGCCGGCTATCAAGACCCGCTCGCCTTCGTAAGATCGGTAATGTTTGCTCGTCCGATCCCTATGCTGGTTGTGTTTGCTCGCGCGTGGTAGCCGCAGTTTTCCCAGATTCTCGTTCTCCTTCAGGTTTAAACTCTGCCTCAGCTAAAATTTCACGTTTATTTAAGCGTCTAGCTCGGAGTATTTTTACCAAAATTGCAGTTCCCTCAATATTGGCGCCTGAAGCTAACTGTAATATTATTATTATCTATTATAACTATGGATATAGCCGGCACTACTAATATGTATTCGGGATTGTTTACGAAAAACATTGTACTTTCTACTTAAAACTGTAAATTAAAGTCCAAGGCTTATTTTTATTTGGAAGGTTTCAATGTTCACTGCAATGTGTAAGTATACGGTAATAGACAGGATCGATTAAGTGCTCACACTAGCAGATTTCAAAATTCACGACGTTATTTCAATGCAGATTGATATTTGGCGATTTAGCTGAATTCAAATCCCAATAATTACTATTATTTTAATTTTAATATTATTAGTATTTATGTATAACTATCTACACTTTTTATTATAATATTAGCGAAATAACTGTTACTTATATTGTAGTTCTATCAGTACGTTTATTTTAATTTTTAAATATTATTTATTAATTATATTTATACTGCTAGCGTTTCAAACTCTATTTATTTCTAAAATATTAAAAAAAATACTTAATTGAAAAACATTAATCNGATGAGTAATTTTAGCTTAAAAATTTTTTAAACTGATTCTCTTTGTAAGAAATGGTTTGGATATAACATATATACTCTAGATGTGATACTCTAAATATCTTGAAATAAAAATAATAAACATCTATAAACATCTACATAGTTTAGTAATATTCTAATAGAAATAATAAGCGCATTATCCACAATTCTATCCAGATAAGAAATTTCGTCAATCCAAACAGACATTTATTTGAATACAAACAACAAAAATATTTATTTGAATAAAATGAATATTTTTTCAAATCAAATTATAATAATTTAAATAAAATAAATAACTTCTTTGTAACGTGATTTTTAATACATGTTTCATTTTATTCAAATAAATAACTTTTTTTTTATATTCAATCTTTTTTTTTAGTCCAATGCAAATGATGAAAAAATAACGTCTACAATAGTTTGAATCTTTCGAATCGCCCTCATCATTCGGTCAACGGTCGAATAATTGCCGATTTACCTTGAGCACAGCAATATCGCCCAGAGGCACCGAAGACGTCCAACCAGCGTCGTTGTACTCATTTGGAACGTAAATTTTTTCAACCTCTGCTTCCACAACATTGTCATCGCGATTGAGATCATCAGCGCCAGCAACGACTTTGAAGATTTTGTCCAGAAACTTGTTGTCGTCACCAATGAAACAGTGAGCAGCTGAAAGGACGTGCCGGTCTTCTATGATGCTGCCACCGCAAATGTGCTCGCCGTCGTACTGCAAGGACACCAAGTACTTGACTTCGCTCGCCAGCGTCTTCCGACCGCCGATCAGAGCTGCCGACTTCAAAATTGCTGGTTGCGCGCCCTTTCCTTCGGTTGATTCGAAAATTATTTCGTCTATGATTTTACAAGACGCGAGTGTCAATGATAACGATATCGTTACGACTAATGGGTGCATCTTCCAGAGACTGCGACAAAAAGTTCTTTGGTTATATAAAATTATCTGAAAGGATAGCTCCACGCGTGCGTATTTGCTTGTAATGGCATATGGATCTTGGATGCAGCAACATTTATAACTTTTTAACCGCAAGGAGAATATAAGATGCTGTGGGTTTCTCGGTAACGAGCCGAAGAACGATTTATAGATTTCTAAAGCATGTTTTTTTTTTTTTTTTTTTTTTTAACAAAATACTTATATGGTTTTCAATCGTTGATCATTTATTTGAAAAAATATTTTATCTATTCCGCAAGACTTTGAAGGGTTAAATTCCTTTGAATCCCGAGTAGATAAAATTAATTGTGAAATTTTTTCAGGTTTGGGGAAGTATGTAAATATCATCCTGTTGTAATAAAGAAAATATCGTACCTAGAGTTTCAGTTGTCAAAACCCAAATATGCGAGATGTATGAGAAAAGTGTTGTCAAAAAAGTATTATAACAATACTAAAAATTACCATATTTTTTTAGTAAAGCTCAGACATACTCACCAATTTATTACGTATAAAATAATTTTTTATACTTTTGTTGTAATAATAGTTATTCAAAAAAAAATGTTTTTTATTAGCTGGGATTTCATACTACACTTACTCATCATTTAAAATCAATTGCAAAAATCCTAAAAATCCATCGTATTTTCGTAAAATTGTGATTTCGGGACCATATCAAATTTTCAAAATACATAATTACAAGTGAAATCCTTCGAATACCTAACTTGCCTGAAAATACTGATTTTTCACGATAAATCTTGTAATTAAATATCCAAGACCAACGACGACTAAAACGTCTTGACTCGCATACGGTCCGTGACTCCTCGCAGCGCATCTCTCACGAATCCCAAGTAAGACGACACACGGCAATAAATGCCCGGCTGGTTGTTTTCATTGCACCCGATCGATATCCCGCTCACAACGCCAATGATCGTATTCGACTTGTAAACCAGTGGACTTCCGCTGTCGCCCTGTCGAAAAAAAAAAAAAAAAAAAAAAAAAAAAAAAAAAAAAAAAAAAAAAAAAAAAAA